CAGTGACCAATGTAGCCTGAGCACAACTTATCAACATAGTGTAAATCCAAGTTTTTGGACTTTGCTTCTTTTTACTGTAATTTCAGCAATACTAGCTGCAGTTGACCATGATTTTTATAAAGTGAACCTGCTTATTGTAACAGTGAGACCACGATATGAATTTTATCACAAGCCATCAGTCTTGTTACAATTAATTCTTAGTGAAGTCAGGACCAGAGACAAAATTGTTTTGTTTTATTTTATTTGTGTGTCAGAAGTCTGGTTTTTGTGCCATGTAGTGTATTGAGGTAGGTGTTTGTTATATGTATATTTCTGTTATCTTGTATTTTTCTTATAAAAATAAGTAGTAAATACATCCATTGTTATGCACATTGTTACTTCTGAATACCCAGTTCTGCTTCTGCTGTAATAAATAGAAGATAGAACGATGGATCAAATGAACATCTATGCCACTCAGAAGTTGCTAGATGGGTCAGATGTCACACCAAATTCTTGACTGCATTTGTTGCAACCAAGTACAAAAGAAGAGCTGAGAACATTTTCAGGACTCCTTGCATGCATGACTTGATGCAATTCCTTACTGTTGCAGATTACTGGAGCAAAGCTCATATAAACAAGAAAGTGGCTCCAATTGCCTGGAGTAAAAGTGTGGAAATGTGAGCGCAGTTTGTTTTCTAATGTGAAAATTATCCTATATCTATATAAATAAAAACGTAAATGTTGGTTTGTTAGCCCTCGAAGATCTCCAAAAGTTCTTCACTGATTGCTTTGAAATTTTGACACAACGTTGCATTCAGACACGCGCATGTTTTTATGTACCCATTATTTAGATGTCACACTTGTGACAGGTAAAACATGCGTCTTTTGAAAACCGGAATTGGAATTTGGAATTCAGAAGAGTGACCCCTATGGAAATGCTAGAACAGACCATTGCATAGGAAGTAACAATAGCGATACTGTATCGAATCTCCATGGTTATGACAAATACACGGAGCGTTCCCACAGTGACAATGCAATAACAATGGGTCATTGCGTAGGAATTGCGGAATCAACAAAGCAGCATATGGCTGAAAATATTTTCCTTTGAATGCGCAAGGATAATTCCAATATGAACATGGATTTCACAGCAGAAATCTACAACGAGGCATTGATAATGATTGAGGATTTGTGCTTAGAAATCGCGAACAAAGTTCTCAATCAATTGGGAATGCCATCACTGAATCGATCTGCTGTTGCTTCGTTCCATGTAGAATTACGTCGTGATCTTTTGTCATATGTGCAATCAAATATTCTAAGCTAACGCTTGAGCAAAAAGGCATATACGATCAAATCATGAAAACTGTCAATAATGGGCTTGCAGAAATCTTCTTCTTAGATGCCCCAAGAGGAACTGGTAAAACGTTGCTAATTAGATTGATTCTGGCAACAATTCGATCCCAAAATGACATAGCCTTAGCTCTTGCATCGTCCGGAATAGCTGTGACATTAATAGCAGGTGGAAGAACTGCTCATTCCGCTTTGAAATTGCCATTGAACATGCAATTCATTGAAAATCCCACGTGCAACATTTCCAAAGGATCAGGCATGGGAAAGGTATTGTAGAAATGCAAACTTATTGTTTGGGATGAATGCACAATGACGCACAAAAAATCGCTCGAGGCTCTTCATTGATCATTGCAAGATTTGTGTGGAAACATCAGACCATTTGGGAATGCATTAATATTGCTTGCAGGAGATTTCAGGCAAACATTACCTGCAATTCCTCGGTTGACACCAGCGGACAAAATAAATGCTTGCCTGAAATACTCTACTTTGTGGCGACAGGTAAAGACGTTAAAATTAACTACAAATATGCATGTCCAGCTGCAAAACGATCCATCAGCTGAGATATTCTCGCAACAATTGCTGGAAATTTGGAACGGAAAGGTGCCGGTTGATCTGACATCAGGACGAATTTCATTGCCTCATAACTTCTGCAATTTAGTGATGTCAAAGGAAGAATTGGTTGAAAAAGTATTTCCCAATGTTGAAACCAATTATGAGAATCACAGTTGCCTGAGTGAACGAGCTATTCTTGCGACCAAGAACAAAGACGTCTATGAACTTAACAATATCATTCAGTCTAACATTCAATGCAAGGCAGTCACATACAACTCCGTCGACACTGTTGTGGAAGCAGATGAGGCTGTTAATTATCCAACAGAATTTTTGAGTTCACTCGATCTGCCACAGCAACGCATGGAAATTGGGAATGGAAAGGTGCCGGTTGATCTGACCTCAGGACGAATTTCATTGCCTCATAACTTCTGCAATTTAGTGACATCAAAGGAAGAATTGGTTGAAAAAGTATTTCCCAATGTTGAAACCAATTATGAGAATCACAGTTGCCTGAGTGAACGAGCTATTCTTGCGACCAAGAACAAAGACGTCTATGAACTTAACAATATCATTCAGTCTAACATTCAATGCAAGGCAGTCGCATACAACTCCGTCGACACTGTTGTGGAAGCAGATGAAGCGGTTAATTATCCAACACAATTTTTGAATTCACTCAATCTGCCACAGCAACGCGTGGCCGGGTACAGCTAGTATTAAATATAAATAGTCTTAAATCAGTACATTATGTGTATTATCACTCATTGGGGAAATATGGAATAATATATTGGGGAAATACATCAGACAGTCATAAGGTCTTTGTTATACAAAAGAAAATAATAAGAATAATGATGGGAGTGGGCCCAACTCATACATGTAGAGATCTATTTAAATAGCTTGACATACTACCAATCCCATGTATATATTTGCTCTCATTGGTATCAGAAGGAATGACCACCTTCACATACCTTCAACACATTTATAATCCTATCAGAGATTATTCACTCATCAAGCTATTTAACACTGCCGCCAAATATCTCTGTTTTCAAAAATTATAAAAAGCAATTTAGGCTTGTTTTATGAAATTATTTGCAAAGTAACGTATTTTACTCTATTGATAAATTTGTCGAGCATGCAAGGTGCTCAAAAGTTAAGAGTTAATAAATGATCTGTGTGCGTGAATTATATATTGTTGAGACTTGCTTGTTGTAAGTGTAGTAGTCTGTGATGTCTGTTTTTGTTATGAATTTTAATATTTTGTGATGTAACTGTTTGGATGATGCTGTTTGCCAGTGTGTGGAATGGCAAGGTATGAATTTGACAGTGGTTTTTCCACGACCAATGTGTGTTGTCCTGACAACTTGAGCTATCTGTGAGAGGCCTGATTATATATTTTATTGGACAAAGAACAAATGATGTGTAGTCATCATGAATTTATAATATGTGACATGTTTTATAACCAGTCCTACCAGGAGATGATTGGATCCATGAGGTGAAAGTGAACATAAATGTAAATTTAAATGTAAACATTTCCAGTAGTGAAAAATGTCTACCAAATGACAGGTTGCACAAAATTCAACAGCTAATTATTATATGTAACCCAGCATTTCAAGAAAAGTTTGCCCATCTCAGGGCGGTTACTGATGAAACAGTGCTTTCCTTTTGAAGCATATAAATATTAAATTAAGATGTTAAAACTTTCCACAGGCAGGGGTTACACATGAAATTTGAGTGTACATTGGCAGGAAGACAAATGCTGGAGCATCTGTCCATATAAGCGTGGTATTGAAACTTTGAGATTCCCTACTCACATATGGAAGGACAGTAGTTACAGTTATTACACAAATGTGGAACTTGCCAGCAAACTTCTGGATCATGGCACACATCACCTTGGCATACTACGTGCAATACACATCTTGGCTCACCACATACCAACAAGAAACAAAATCAATATGAATTGAAAATGGGTGATTTGGTAGCAATGGAAAACGGTAGGGGAATTACGGTACTGAAGTGGAATGACAAAGGAGGTGTCACATTCCACAGCACTTGCCATTCAAATTAAACTGTCTTTAGTCACCAGGTGCAGTGATACAGTAGTCAGACTACAAGCTCTTGTTGACTACCGTTCTGGCAAATCATCAATTGATTTATGAGATCAGATGTATAATTATTCAAGAAGCCTTTGATGGTCAAGTGGTAGAGCTAGCAGTGGAAATAGTCCTAGACACAGCTGTGGCCATTGCACACATCATTTACAAGTAAGTAAGAAGTGGAGATAATTGAATTACAAAGTTGAGGAACAAAATTGTCCTGGGGCTGCTGAGCCATGGAAATGTTGAAGGGAACACCAGTGAAAGAAGACAGTGTGAGTTCCCATTATTATAGGAATACAGAATGATCCAGTGGGCCTGGAAGAGAGTATTGTAAAGTGTGTTAAAACAAAGAGATTGAAGAAAAACTGGGGAAAAATTAGATTTAGGAAGTAACCATTTATTGTGAAGATTATGTTGTTCATCCACACTATTACTTGGACTGTTAAGTTGTATTCATTACTAGTAGACAGACACATTGTTTTTGAAATATGAATGAAGTAGATATTTTTAAAATGTGTGTTTGGAGATAACTAGCAATGATACCTATGTGAAAACTTATGTTTGATTATCTGTATTTCTGTCAAATAATTTGGAATAAAAACCTAATGGAAACAATTTTGTTGTGACTTTACTGTAAAATCGTAAATATATATGTCAGTAAAGGAGAGACTGAATTGTTAAGGCTGTGACTGAATATTCACATTTGTTGTGTTGGTATTCAAAACCGGATCAGCATGGATAATAGTTATATAATAAAGGCATTCTTCTGATGATTATGCCATTTTTGCTGCTCAAATAGGAAGCAGCTCACAGAAAACACTGCTTGATTGAGATGTCTGCAGGCTGTAACAGCCAGATAAGCATAAGAGATGTCCTAGACTGTTGGACACACAAGAGTCGAATGCGGTGGAACATAAGCATATAAGAGTGGACACTTGTGACAACTGTGATGGAGGGCAGATTTTCTACAGTGGACACTGGTATCTTCAATGTCAACAAAGGTGTTAAAATTCAGATTTATTTTGACAGGAAATAAGAATGGACTTCTAGTTCCCAACTCCACCACAGACACAGAGCTGCAGCACTTGAGGAACTCTTTGCCAGACACAGTTTGTGTGCAGCGTGTTGAGGAGCGGTTGTCAGCACTGGGGAATGTGGTGGCTTGCAATGACTATGTCGCACTTGTGCATCCTGACTTGGACAGGGTAAGATGCTACATTCTGCACATTTTTGTGACAGAATCTCTTTGTACTTATTGATATAAATAAATGAAGGATCGTAACCCAGAATCCATTCTTTGTGGCTTAATAATTCTGTATCATGACAATTCATTTTTGGTTAATAGTTAAACTGGTGAACTAACTCCCATGGAGCAGAGTCCTTGAGAAAGTAATAGTCAATCAAAGAATGAAGAAATCCATCTCCCTTTATGAAACCTGAAGGTTTATTTCTGTGCTTACAAAAATCCTTTTTTGGTTAATAAAGATGGGTGAATTGGCTTAGACATGATCAACCTATGTTAAAGAAGAAATGAATTATAAAAGATAAAACAATTCCATCCAGTGTGACTGTTGAAGTTTTTGCTACTTCAATTCTTAACACCCTTACATGTTTCGGTCCCTGTAGACCATCATCAGAGGGACATCGATACCCTTTGGAAACCACTACTACAATGGGTGTTCTGAGTGTTAAAATATATACACATACAGTGTTTGTAATGCACAATATATACAAAATCCAAAGTTTTCACAACTACAGCAGTTGTCTTGGTGTATTAAAGTTTTTTAAAACTTTTGTTATTTAACACATCGCGTACTGGCGATTTAAATATTTAAATCACCCTGGGGACTGGCGTTATTAAACCTACTATCCTAACTTGTGCACTGTTCTAAAATTTCCTAATTAATATTAGAGTCAATTTTACGGACCACACAACATATTTTTATTATTATTACACCCTGTTGTGTATTTAATCAATATTAGAGTCAATTTTACTGACCACACAATATATTATTATTATTATTATTATAAAAATATGTTGTGTGGTCAGTAAAATTGACTCTACTATTGATTAAATACACAACAGGATGCAAGAAACAATTAAAGTTTCCTAATTAATTTTATGAACTAAAATTTTTGGACAACCAATGCTCCTAGAAGTGCTTGAGAGAGTGATATTTCTGGAAACATTCCCCTTTGTGAAGTGACATTACACAGAACTTGCAATATAGACAATCATACTCCTTTTTTTTGTGAACTGGCAAACATGGCATTGCTTAGAAGGATGCTTCCCCTTGGAATGTTCACTCTTCACAATTTTCACGAGGGTATGTTTCCATATATCACCCGAGAGTCGCCCTGTGACATATACATGAGGCCTGGGTGGGGTGGGAGTTGATGGGCCTGGTAGCACTAAGTCTGTGTCTGACTCTGGTTCTGCCACCACCATCTGGTCTGTAGCCCAGGCCTTTGCCACAGTCATCAGAAATGCTTTGAATTTCAATTTTGTATCAGGTTTTAGATTTTTGTAATTTTTTTAGATTTTTTGCTGTCCCCCCAATCTTACAACCCGCATTTTCGTTGAAGCTACTGTCTCTTTGACTCTCTGTGGCCACAATTCTTTGTTGTCCCCTGTCACTGCCACTGTCTAAGTCACCATCACTATGCGTCTCACAAGGCACGTAAGCCAGCTCATCGGAGAAGAATTCGTCCTTGATCCATATTTAACTACTAACTTACTGGCTGTTACATACAGCTTGAAGACTGACAGTTCCTTTGGAATGGGTTAAGATAACAGTGAGGTCATCTTACTGAATACTAAGCAAGGTATAGTGTGTTGCAACCTAACATGTCCTAAAATCATGATATCATGTGACCGGTCCGCCACATTTAAAAGTGAAAAGCATTATGTTGTAACGTTTTTTTGCCACTGAAGACACCGTTTGAATTGTTAATTGGTTTATTTAACAACCTACAAGTCTTGGCTACAATTAATTATAACACTGTTAACGAGTTTACACACTTTACAACCCTACACAATAATCTAGTCACTCTGTCTTCAGTAGTCTTCATGTATTTATAACTTGGGAGCTATACAAGTCTCTCTTAATTACACACTCCCAATATGACTGTACTACAGCACACAATCTTGAAGTTACACAATAAGTCTTCACTTGCTGACTTCTCAGTAATCGCACGCAATCACATAAGGTCTTCTAACCATGCGTTCGGGTCTTCTTTCTGTGACTGCTGCTATATTTCAAGTGTCTTCAGTGGCTGCTACATTTTAACTCACTCCTTAGGCAGTGTAGTTCTCTTATAAACCCTCAGCCAGACAACGGGAAAACGCCTCGCTTCCTTGTTGCCTAGTCGCCGTGTTTACAGGTGTTGCTGCCTGTTACGTCACAGTGGGAAGCGCTGCCGTGTCACCGCGGGGGAGGGGGCAGAGTGTTGACTTGCCTGTTACCCTAGCAGCGACAGTGCTCGATGTTGTTATGTCACCACTGGCAGGGGAGGGGATGTCCTCCATAGTGCAGTACGTCACACTATCATGTGACCGGTCCTTCAAGTGTTAAGTTAAAATTTATAAACCAAATAGGTTCGTGTCCCTATTTGGTTTATAAATTTGAACTTAAATAAAGTTTTAAAAAACTTTAATATACCAAGACAACTGCTGTAGTTGTGAAAACTTTGGATTTTGTATATATTGTGCATTACAAACATTGTATGTGTATATATTTTAACATTCAGAACACCCATTGTAATAGTGGTTTCCAAAGGGTATCGATGTCCCTCTGATGATGGTCTATAGGGACCGAAACATGTAAGGGTGTTAAGAATTGAAGTAGTAAAAACTTAGCAGTCACACTGGACAGAATTGTTTTATCTTTTATAATATTGTTAGTGTGATGAACCAGAATGAGATAAATCAAATTCAAGAAATGTATTATTGTAAATGGGCCTATATCGTGAATTTCTATAATACCCTGTTTTTCTGTTGATCCCATGTTATAATGAGGACACATTCCTGTGGAACATCTTTTGTTCACAGTTTTGTTTTTTCATGTTTCACATCGAACAGTTCCTTTCCATGCTCTTTTGGGTGTACTGTGTAAACCCGAACTTGGCCTCTTTCCACACAGTTTAAATAAGGGTAATACATTGGACTGTCTATAATAAGATAGGAAAAACATTCTACTACTATGTTATATCCATGGCATGTGTGGGATATGTTCAATTTATAATGGGCACGTTTATGTGTGTCAGTTCAATATTTATTATTTGGGTATAACATTTTAAGGAGACCTGTACTTAGATGATTGGAGTCAGGGCTCTATGTATAGACCCTGCCACTCTAGCTATGAACTGTGTAGCAAGGCAGTCAGTCGTAAGATGTGCCTGAGAGTGAGTTGGACTGAACTCTATACTCTGTACCTCATGTGACTGGCCAAGGCTCTAGGCAGAATGGGACATTATACTACATAATATAACTGACTAATTTGATTTGTTTCATTCTGGTCCATCACATTAACAATTACAAAGACAAAAATCACATTAGACGGTGTTATTTTTGTCTTTATAACTGACTAACATGTGGCTTCCTCCCTCTGGATTGTAAAGGAGATACAGGAGTGAGTGTTTAGAACTGATACTGCTGAAACTGTACAGCTGTCATTCTAATAAACCTTCAAATCCTCCAATGTTTGCTAAACTGTTTCATTTCAACGCACACTCCCCTGCTGCTTGGACAGATGTGTTGGGATACAAAGTCATGCTGTACATGATGAAGCATGCACCTAGGATACCTGGTGACAAGCTTCATATTGTCATGTGTTGTGTATGTCACGCGACAAATAACTTTAGGCGGGTCTCGGATTTAGCGAAACTTATTGGACACTCAAGTCTTACACACTGTACAACTGTTATCACTTCACCTGTATTCTGCAGTGGCTATCTTCCAGCTGTCCCTGACCGTGGCTGGATCCCAACTGTCTTCAGCGGCGGCTGTACCAAGACTCTTGGCAAATGCACTTCCTTGTTATATATCTGCGGTCATTACTTCGCAGTGAACCTTCTGTTATTTATCACCAGGGAAACGCTCTTTTGTTGATTCTGCAAATCCTATGCAACGGCCGACTGTTGGGATTACAGTACCGCTATTGTTACTTCCTATGCAACGGTCTCTTCTAGCGTTTCCATGGTAGTGACTCTTCTGTATTCTAAACATGTGACCTTGCTCCCTTCTAAAGGTTGTTTGTCCCTGAACAGCCTAAAGGTTCTTCCTCTCTTCCATTTCTGAAGTGTTCTGCTGGCAATGTCTGCATTTGGTCATGCTGTTCTCTCGCGTCTTTTTGCACTGTACATCCTACCGCATCCACCCCTCTCTTCAGTGGTGCTTGTCCCAAGCACTTCCATGGTCCAGGATTTTTTGGTCAAATTGTCTCACATTCATTCCTCGCTTTCATTCTTTCCTCATTCATTGTTGCTAGGGAGGCCGGTGTTTCTACTACTGGTTCCTCCCATGCGGGCCGTTTCATTTTCTTCCGCTTTGGAGGGCGTTGACCCCTCAACAGTGTCCAATATTTGATGTTTTGTGGTGGTACAGGAAATTTGGTAATTTGCTTCGCGATCTCATGTCCGGTCATTTTTCTGTAGGGCTCGATCCTTGTTTCTCTTGTCGCATTGCGGTTGCACCCATTGTCTCTTCCGAGCGTCCATCCTTTCGAGGTTCCTAACATCACTTCATCCCTGGTGCGGTTCCTTCTGATGGAGTTTTCTTTGCGCTGTGTCACACTTGCACAGCGGGTTATCTTGTCGGCAATGAGCAGTCGCTTCCTCTGGGGTCCACCAGCTCCTTGAGTAAGATCCTCCTTCACGATGTCTCTCTTGCATCCTGCCACTGTTGCGTGTTGCGTTGTCAGTTTGTGTTTTTGTGCCACCTTCGCACGGCGTGTTGTTCTTCTGTGAGCGATGGCCAATATCTTCTGGAGTCCACAATTTCCTACATCGAATCCTTTGCTTTCTGGTGGCGGCGCTCCATGGCCAGTTTTCGGTCCCAACACCTTTTCTTCTTCGGTTCTCCGACCAGCATTACTTCGGCATCTTCTGCGGGGACCTCTCGTTGTTCTGCCACCTCATGTTTCTTGCCCAGCGAGGTCGGCTTTCTCTCATCGTGACATGCCTCCATCTCTTGGCAGGCCGTTGT